ATTTCAATGCAGGGAAGGAGGAGTGAAAGTCAAGGGAGCTCCAGGAGTTTGGGCTGGGATCGCTCAGTCAACAGACACCAGTGATGAAGCACGAAGGATGGGAACAAGGAACAAATCAATGGTTTGGACACAAAAAAAAATCTTTTGTAGCTTAAGGTTGAACTTTCACTGAATAGGGAGACCTGATATTGTGTATGATTGGTGAGAATGATGATCTTGACATTGACTTGGAGGGACACAGAGAACTAGTAAAGCCTGGTGAGGAGCAAGGTAGTCAAAGTGTAGGTCTCTCAGGAGGTAACAACATGATGAGCTGGAATCTGGATTTATTGGTGCTCACTGAGGATGGCTGTGTGAAGGGTAGCAGGAAGAAAGTATGAAAAGTAGACCCTTGAGATGGACGATGGACGATGGACATGTGTGTGGTGTGTGGTGTGTGTGTGTGTGTGCGCCCTCAATCACAGTAACCGCACTAGTGGGTTGTTGAATGTTTAGGAAGATGACCTTCTAGGAGAATGAAATTCCTGTAATCTTCTAAATATGCTGTGGGTTGATAAGTGCATGTCACCAATGACATCCTTCCAGACAATTGACAATAACCCCCTGAACTGACCTTTCACAGTGAGAGAACTGCAGCCCAAGCATGACTAGTGGAAGTGGCAGCCTAGACTCATAGTTACAGCCATTCTGCCCTTCATATCTGTGCCAGTTAGTTCTACATTCCCGCTGTTACTCTATCACTTTGCAAATATTTCCCTTTCACATATTTTTCCAACGCCCTTTAGAAAGTTCATTTTGAGTCTGCTTTCTCCCTCCCCTCACTCTTTCAGCCAATACATTCCAAGGTGTAAAACAATTCGCCCTATCTCACCTGTAACTCTTTTTAGCTAATATGTCTTATTTCTGTACTCTTTACCAACACTTCTGCCACTGAAAACCATTTCCCTTAATCTATTCCATCAATACCATGATTAAATGTTTAGCTTCTCGATTAAACCTCACCTTAATCTTCACATTTCTAACTTCTCTCATGGAGTTACCCGCGAAACAGCAATAAATATCCATTCAGCAAATCAGGAAAGAGGGACTGTTCATTCCATTCCATCCCATAGTGGCTGCTATGAATGATTATAAATTTGAAAACACCTTGAAATTTCATGTAGGACTGCTTCCATCATTGAAGTGCACCACACTGGCTCTGTGGCATTCTTTAATATTATAGTCACTAGAACCATGTACTTAATTGCCTTGAAAGCACTTAAGGACATGCTGAGTTCACGAGAGGCATCATAAAAGTGTGCGTATTTTCTTTTTATACATTTAATGTGCATGTACAAGTATGTAGGGGTAACATGTATATGCAACTGTATCCTAACTTTAAGCTTCTGTAGCCCACTTTGCAGGCATTGTAAATATTCTGTAAAGCTATTGTAATTAAAGAAAATAAGTGACTGGAGTATATACTCGTGCTTCTTTGCAAGCACCTGTCGTAATCTAACACATCCTCAGGGGCATGCTTCAGGATAGTTTCAGAATGCAAATTTTATCCCTGTTTGATCAAGCTTACTATTGGCATAATACAGCTGTTTAAAGTTAAAGCTGCTTCTCTCACATCTAAAAGATTCACTAGCAAAGGAAATTGTTCAAAGATTAACAGCCAATAAAGTAAATCATGGTGACAGTTACAGTTAATATTTATGTGCTTGTAGAATTGAAACTAATAATTGTTTTGTGTCAAGCACTGTTCAATATGAGAAGGTTTGCATCATTTTTTTTCAGATTGACGACTTTCTGAATTAATCACATTTGCATCCTTAATGCTTGATCACAACAATGAGAGTCTGATAATTATGGCATAGAGGATCCTGAGTTTCAAACCTCAAGACATTAGTCCTAATGGATCATAATTGCAATTGATATTCAGACCAAAACTACTCCCAGATAATAGCCTAGAATTTGGTGGATTGGGTCATCTCTCAGCACATTCCATTAGTCAAACAATTTTGTTTAGTGTTATGTTATAAGTAATTTTATACTGTACATTACTGGAAGTATAAGTTGATAGCATGAAGGCAGTAGACCATTTGGAACCTTGGTGAACAATTAAACCAATGGCCAATGTCCTTACCATTGAGATTTCAGAATGTAGAAAGGAACAAAAGAGTAATGCAGAAGGAAATGGAGTCATTTAGAGTGAAATCTGATAAGGAAAGAGAAATAAAGAGAGGAACGAAAGATTTGAGATTGAGAGAAACAAAATGAGACAGAAAGTCAAGTACAAAAAAGTCTTTAAAATTTACATTTTAACATTAAAATTTCTTGAAGAATTAACACCCAGTGTATGAGATAACAAGGTGTAGAGCTGGATGAACACAGCAGGCCAAGCAGCATCAGAGGAGCAGGAAGGCT